TATCTATCTATCTATCTATCTATCTATCTATCTATCTATCTATCTATTTATCTATCTGTTTTAGTTTACTTTATTGTCATTGCACCTCATACAATGAAATTAAATACCATCTTCAGTGTACATTATGACTTTGAAAATAAACACAAACAGACATCCTTCACATTCTATACAATTGAATTGATTGGGAGAGTCTTGATTTAAAGAGACTCGTAAGACCTGCGTAGCATCTCCAGAGATTGCAGTATGTAAATGTCACAGCATGGGTAGTCCTTGACTTACAACCCCAATTGAGCCTAAAATGTATGTTGCTAAGTGAGGAATTCATTAAGTGAGCTTTGCCACATTCGTTAAGTGAATCACTGCAGTTTTTAAATTGGCGACACGGTTGTTAAGCGAGTCGGGCTTCCCCATTGACTTTGCTCATCAGACAGTCGCAAAAGGGGACACTTGCACCTGTCATAAATAGGAGTCAATCGCCAAGCATCTGAAGGTAAATCCTGTGACCCTGGGGGCTGCCAGCATGGTCATAAGTGTGAAAAATGGTCGTCGGTCATTTTTTGCAGTGCCGTTGTATCTTCGAACTAAGCGAACTGTCGTAAGTCAAGGATGGCCTGTACAATAAAAGGTTCCCAGAAAACCTTTAAAAAGCTTCATTTCTGTCACTGCACTTTTGCACTGCACTTTTGAGGGTCAGCTGTCTAGTGAGGATAGTGGGAGGGGGTGGAAAACCCATCTTGAAGTAAACCAGGGTTTGTTGGAACATCTGAGCTGTGGGAATCCAAGAAAAACAAGGGCTTTGTAGTGTCTCCAGGCTGGGGTCTTGTCCCAATTGGCCTTATTCATGTACAGATGAAACCACCACCACCTCCCACTACATTTTTGTCCATTTACAGGCAATGAGAAATCTTTGATGAGGCCTCCAAATATGTCTGCTCTTGTTTCTAGAGAGGGCTCCGCTTCAGCCCAGCCAGATCTGGTAAGAAAAGAGGGGGGGGGGAGACTAAAATGGGTCAGCCACTGCAGATTTTCCTGGGTGGCTCTGACCCCTTTCTCCAGTGGTGGGATTCATATAAATTTAGCAACCGGTTCTCTGCCCTAGTGAGTTCTCCCAATGACCGGTTCGCGAAACTTCTCTGGAAGTTAACAACCGGTTCTCCCGAAGTGGTGTCCACCGGCTGAATCCCACCACTGCCTTTCTCCTTCCCTCCTTCCCTCCCTTCCTCCATTTCCTTTTCCTCTCCTCCCTCTTTTCCTTTTTTTTTTCTTTCCCCCTTCTCCTCCAGGTTCCGCTATCTTTTGAGGACGTGGCTGTGTACTTCACGGAAGAGGAGTCTCCTTTGTTGAATGCAAGCCAGTTGTCCCTGCAAATGGAGGTCATGGTGGAGAACTACCAAAACCTGAGCTCTTTGGGTGAGTCCCCCCCCCCCCATGTGGTGTCCCAACAGGCTTTGACCCCAAATTTTTCAGGAGGCAACTTGGACTTTCTTGGTTTTTTTTTCTTTTGAAGACGTTTCGCTTCTCATCCAAGAAGCTTCTTCAGCTTCTGAGTGGATTGGTGGGGAATGGAAGGATTTATATTAGTGGTGGGATTCAATTTTTTTTTACTACCGGTTCTGTGGGCGTGGCTTGGTGAGCGTGGTAGGGGAAGGATACTGCAAAATCCCCATTCCCCACCCCCCACCCCATTAACCTGCTTTCCAGCTCCGTTCTCCTGTGCAGGGCAACAAAAGAAGACCTAGCCAATCAGCTGGGACTCGGGAGGCAGAGAAGAGATGGGGGCGGGACCAGTCAGAGGCGGTCTTTGCCAGTTCTCCAAACTACTCAAAATTTCCACTACCAAACCTACTGAATACCACTTCTGATTGACATTCCTTGCAGACCAATGGACATTTGCATCCTTTTAGAGCGGGGGTGTCAAACTTGCGTCATCACGGCAGTGCCATGTGATGTATCAGGACTTTATTCCCCTTCGCTAAACTGGGTGGGGGGCATGGCCAGCGTGTGTCACATCCGGCCCACAGTCCGGGACTTTGACAGCCCTGTTTTAGAGGGTCGTTGAAGCACTTGGAGGTTTATCTGTGTCCTCAGCATCACCTGAGTAGTGGAAATGGTTCCTGTAGTCTGCAGTGTTTTCCCTCTGGAAATTCATTCCTGCTTACTCCCACACGCTTCCAAAGGTGTTCATCCCAAATTGGATAGCTAAAACGTCGGTAGAGATTCTCAGTCATCCAGGTCATGGTTGTCCCAAAGGTGCTTTTTGAGGAGGCAAGTGGACTTTCAAAAGAAAAAACAGGAAAGTTCAGTTGCCTCCTCAAAAAAGCATCTTTGGAACAACCATGACTTGGGTGACTGAGAATCTCTATAGACAACAGGCTTGAAGTCATAATCTGCTGACTTGTTAGCTGACTGCAATTTGGCACTTCAAATCTAATCAAACACAATTCAAAAAGAACGGAAACCTTGTGATGCTTTTGCAAAATAATTAGCTGTGATAAGCACAAGCCTTGCCAAACTGAGTGAGACTTGCCAAAAGATAACAGACAAGAAATAATTTGCAAAATAAGAATCTTCAAATACAAACTCAGGATACTGGAATGTCCACGAAGCTGGGGTTTCAAAACGTTTTTGCCTTCTGCAAAATACGTTCGTTCACAGCTGGCTTTTGTCTTCTTGAAGGAGGGGCCATTACCTTGCAGCCTTATTCCCGAGTCACCTGTGCTGTTGCAGCTGCTCTTTCCTGCAAGCAATCCTGCGTGCACGCACACTTGGCACAGGCTTCTCAGGAACCTCATCACTGCTGCCAGCCCCCACAATCTCTGAAGGCAGCAGTTCAGTCCCTAATGGTTCTGGCCCCTCATCTGAGTCCTTGCTCTCCTCAGCCGTCCATACCTGCTGCCGGCTAAACCACAACACATCCTTCTGAAATGGGTAAAATGAGGACCCAGATTGTTGGGGCCAATAGGCTGACTCTGTAAACCGCTTAGAGAGGGCTGCAAAAGCACTGGGAAGCGGTATATGAATCTAAGTGTGATTGCTATTTAGCAGCACAATCCCCTCTTGAGTTTTTACCGTATCCAGATGCCATTGTGAAGCCAGCAGTAAATTTTTGTTTGGGAACCATGATCAAATGTGTTGGGTTTTATATGCAGTTGGAGAGTAGCAATAGCACCTAGACTTGTATACCGCTTCACAGTGCCAAGCAAAGGTCGTAAGTGTGAAAAACAGTCAGAAATCACTTTTGGTCAGGTCCGTTGCAACTTTGAATGGTCACTAAATGAATTGTAGAATACTTTGACTCCCTCTTCTTTGTGACATCCCCTTAGATATTGAAATTCTACTATCGTGTCACCCTTAGTCCTTCTTTTCATCAAACTAGACCTACCCAATTCCAGCAACCGTTCTTCATACGTTTTAGCCTCCAGTCCCTTAATCATCTTTATTGCTCTTCTCTGCACTCTTTCTAGAGTCTCAAGATCTTTTTTACAAAACTGGATGCAGCATAAAAAGTGTGGCCTTTCTAAGGCATAAAGTGGTATTAATACTTCACGTGACCTTGATTCTATCCCTCTGTTAATGCAGCCTAGAAATGTGTTAGCTTTTTTGGCAGCTGCAGCACACGGCTGGCTCATATTTAAATGATTATCCACTGGGACTCTGAGATCCCTCTCACAGTTACTATTACCCTGTTTCCCTGAGAATAAGACCCCAACCAGAAAATAAGCCCTAGCATGATTTTTCAGGATGCTCGTAATATAAACCCTAACCCAAAAATAAACCCCAGTTAAGATAGTGAGGCAGACGCATTTAGTACTATATTTTTCCCCCAAATAGGACCTAACTGGAAAATAACCCTAATGTGTCTTTTGGAGCAAAAATTAATATAAGACCCAATTTTATTTTGGGGGAAACACAGTACTGAGTGAGGTTCCACCTAAGCCATACCTGTACATTTGGTTTTTCTTGCCTGAATGTACTACCTCAGTGATCCCCAACCTTTTTTATGCCGCGGCCCGGTACCGGCATCAGCTGGGCGCCGCGGCCCGGTACCGGCATCAGCTGGGCGCCGCCATCTTTTTTTGATGAAAAAGTGCTTCCGGTGACCTCACCGGAAGCACTTTTTCATCAAAAAAGATGGCGGCGCCAGCGCTTCCGGTGAGCTTTTCCAGGTAGAAATGGCTTTCTACCCGGAAAAGCTCACCGGAAGCGCTGGTGCCGCCATCTTTTTTTGATGAAAAAGTGCTTCCGGTGAGCTTTCTACCTGGAAAAGCTCACCGGAAGCACTTTTTCATCAAAAAAAGATGGCGGCGCCCAGCAACCAGCGGCCCGGTAGGACTTGTTCCGCGGACCGGTACCGGTCCCCGGACCGGTGGTTGGGGACCCCTGTACTACCTTACCTGTTGTGATTAACCAGCAGCAGGTGCATACGGTGGAGGAGAGCGAGGACTCAGATGAGGGGCCAGGACCATCAGGGAGTGGACTGCTGCCTTCAGGGATTGTGGGAGCTGGCAGCAGTGATGAGGAGGTTCCCGAGGAGCCTGTGCTAAGTGCGCGTGAGCGCCGGATGATTCGTGGAAGAGAACAGCTGGAGCAGCACAGGCTACTCGGGAGTAAGGATGCAACGTAATGGCCCCTCCCTCCGGGGAATATAAGCCTGGTTTCAACAGGTTTTTGCTTTTGCAAAAGGTTAAACGCTCTAAGGATCCAGCATTGTGTGTAGAGACTTCAGCTTATCTGAATTCTGTCAAAGCTTTTCTGGTTGGACTAATTGGCTGCAAGCCATCTTTTATCTACAAAGAAGTTTATTTGTAGATTAAAGCTGTGAAGGTTTGAGTTGCTGCGTTTGTTTGAGATTTTCTTGGTGGTAACAGGGTTGGGTCAGAACATTACCTATCTCTCACCGAAAGCTTTTTTTTTTTTCTCCCCCATTTGATCCTTCCCCCCTCCCCATTTTTTCACTTGGTTTTCTCTTCTAGGGAGGGAGGTATGGCAGAACAAGGAGGAGGATGAATCGCAAAGAGTGTCCTTAAAAAGATCCAGATCCACCCAGGAGGAGCTGCAGTTTGAGGGGATAGAGGAGCGGCCCAAGGTCATGAGATGGGATGAATTCTCTCTTTCGGAAATCCATCCTTTCCAAGGTGCAATGGGGGTGCCCCAAATATATCCGGGGAACGCCCCTTTGGCGTCCGCAAGCGGGAACTTTTGCAAAACGCCAATCCCAGGAAGACCGACCATGAAAAACACCTTTGTTTCTAAGAGCGTGGATTCCCCTGCAACGCCCGCCCAAGGGAAAGTAGCTCAGAAACCCAGAATAAATATGTGCACCATCTGTGGGAAAAGCTTTACTCATAGGTCTCTCTTGCACGAACACGAAAGGATCCACGCCAGGGAGAAGCCCTTTAAATGCAACGAGTGTGGCATCAGCTTCAGTCAGATGGCAACCCTGACCTCCCACAAACGCATCCACACGGGGGAGAAGCCCTATCAATGCATGGCGTGCGGGAAGAGCTTTAGTCACAGCATCACTCTCCATTCCCATCGAAGGAGCCACAAAATTTAAATACACCGAAGCGGCAAAGGCCGCGATCAAAATCCAACACTTCCCAAACGGCAAGATTTTGTGCAGGGCAGAAACTGAGGGTTATCTTCGTCGTGGAAAGTACCTCAGGTTTTAGGTACAAACTCTTAACAAATCTCTATAAATAGCCTTTTTTTTTTTTTTTTTGGCAGCTGCCTGAAATCGTTCATTTGGATTCTTCTTTTTTCCCCTGCCCCAACAAGAATTTCCCAGAGTTCTTTTTAGGTAGTTTTTTTGAGAGAGAGAGAAAGAGAGATTGGATTTATTTAATGATTGATCTTAAATGCTTTTATATTTGTTTTGTTTTTTTCTACTACTGTAAGCCGCCCAGAGACAACTCGAGGCGGTGAGACGGGGGGCATCTACATTTAAACGCTAACTAAAAGAATAAATAAATAAAACTAGAATCCCAGCCGGTGAATTCATTTCAATGTATGTCTATGGAGATTTTCGGGCATCCAAGACCCAAATGTTGTCCCAAAGGTGCTTTTTTTCAAGAGGCAATTAGACTTTCTGGTTTTTCTTTGAAGGCGTTTCACTTCTCATCCAAGAAGCTTCTCAGCTCTGACGTGATGTTGGGGAATGGAAGGATTTATACTCCTTACAGACAGCTGGTCATTTGAATTCTCAATGTCAGGGCTCTGGCAGTTACCCCCAATTAAATCATGAGTCTCGAGCCAAACTTCCAAAACTTCAAAAGGATTTATTAGGAGTTAACATGCCGGCACTGCCTGGGTGTAGCCGACTGAGACACATAATTCATTGTCACCCTTGACCCTGGTTTTCCCCCCCATCCCCTGGGTGTATTGTAATTCATATTCTCCAATGGGACACGTCACACATCCATAGCCAAGAGTCATCAATCCTGCTTTCCAGTTAGCATTTTGCACAGCAGACACTTCAGTCACCTAGTTACTATCTTTGAAAACATTTATGGAATGCAGTTTCGGTTTTGCAAGCTGCACTGCTCCCTCCTCCCTTTCTGTTGCCAACTCTAAAAAGACCATAGAATCATTTTATGAGTTGACAATCTGAATCTAGTCCAGACACAAACCGAGCAGTGTAGTATATGCAGTACAATGCAGTGAGCCATGCGCAGATCTGTACCTTGGGGAAACTAAACAACCACTTCATAGACGCGTGGCACAACACAGGAGAACAAACCCATTGGGACTAAATTCAGCAGTCCATTTGCGTTTAAAAGACAAAGGCCACTCTTTTGAAGACAGCAAAGTCCACATTTTGGACAGACAGGACTGCTGGTTTGAAAGGGGGTCGAAGAGGCCATCTATGTCAAACTTGAACAGCCCTCTTTCAACACGGGGAGGGATACGACATCTACCGTGTTTCTCATAAAATAAGGCCGGGCCTTATTTTTTTTTGAGCCCTGAAAAAATGGCTAGGCCGTCTTTTCGGGGGTGACTTAATTCCCCCCCTTTCATCCTCATCTAGAGCGCCCCGCGGGCAGCCTCGCCACCAGCCGCTCCTAACGGATGATCATGGCGAAGCGCAGAGAGCTCCCTACTCCCACCAAACACCTTTGCTGCAGACCCAAGACCTTTGGCACCTGCCACTGTTGCTTTCCCTTCTGCCCATTCCACCGCCACGTTTGGAGCTGCCGCTTCCGGGTTTGGAGTGCCGCTGCCATTTGGAGCACCACCACGTTTGGAGCTGCCGCTTCCGTGTTTGGAGATGCCGCCGTGTTTGGAGTGCCGCCGCCATTTGGAGCACCGCCCCCAC